CGACTTGAATAAGTTCATTCTGAGTCCCAACCAATGCTCCCTCTAAGCTGTGGAGTCTTGTGAGCAAAAATTCTACTTTGTGAGCCACTGGCTGTCAGCAAGCTGCCAAATGTTTATTCTTCTCTGTATAATTCTCTATACGCTGTTCTCCCCTCAATCCATACATGCGCTCAGGTAGTCATGCGCACATTTACCCTGTTGCTTTGCATTCCTTTCAGTATACGCCAGCCATGCTTTGATGTAACGTTATCTAGCCAAGGTCACAGGAGGAAGAGCAAGTGAGCTTTGCTTTGTAATTAGTAGAGACTGTGTGAATTGCATGATTATTTATAATATAGTAGCAGTTGCTTTCCCAAGGTTTGGGCGCGCAGAAAACCTCTGGGCGCGCGGGGGAACCATGTCTATTGACTATAATGATTATGAACTTGCTTTAACCTTTCCAGCTTTCTGTGTAATCGTTATTTTGAATAGTGACTCTGTTCAAGTACTTCATGGCTTCAATAAAGTAAAACTTTCTTGCAAGTGTGTACTACGTTGATGGCTGTGGGGACCTGACACTGGCATTAAAGATGGGAGTGAGCGATTTGGCTACCGCATAAATTAGTTTGCTCTGGAGCCATCCTTCCTGAGCTGAGACAAATAGGTGTGAGCCGGGGGCTAAAAAACTGTGAGCTAGCTCACACTCACTCAGCTTAGAGAGAACACTGGTCCCAACACTGCTTTGCCTTTTCTTATGCATATTTGCTAACGCAGCAACCTCAGTTCTTATCTGTTTAACTTGATTAACAATGTCATGGATATTTCCAAAAATACACTCCACTCTTCTGGCAACCAAAGCAAGCTGGCTACACTTCAGGGACCCAGGGCCCTCCTTGTTGTCCACTCCTCCTTGGGAGTTACTCTACCATTCAGGGATCTGCTCCCTTAAAGCCAAATTTTCACTTGAATGCTGGAATAGGGAAACAGCTCAAAAGTTAAATTGAAAAGAAACTTTGTAACCGCTACCTAATCTACTTCACTGTTCAAACTAGAAATAAAAGTTAGTTCCTTATTTTTTTAACCCTGTGGGCTAGTTGTCTCAGGGAAAGAAGCACACACACACAAATGCTATATATGTTTTAAGATATGAATAAATGATGGCAGCATGAGAATGAAGCAGAGTCCCTAATCCTAATAGCTGTCTGTAATATCTGAGTGAGGGTGATTATTAAATGGGACTGGGCTACTCTGTCTGTTGCTGTCTCTGTAAGTAACAGGGAGGACTTGGTATGTGGAATGGTCATGACTCCTGATGAAGCTTAAGCCTTAAGGCTCCTTAAGCTTTAAGAGGCAAGACAGCTAGTGGTGTGACTGCCAGACCTACCTGTAACCCTGAATCTGTGGTAGAAAGGTTGTGTAAGGTGGTAAGCACTCTGTGTGAGTGGAAAAGGTCATCACATGAGACTACCTTACTTTGGTCACATTATGAGAAAACAAGAGTCACTGGAAAAGACAAAAGTTGAAGGCAGCAGGAAAAGGGGAGGACCCAACATGAGATGGATTGATTCAATAAGGGAAGATGCAGTCCTCAGTTTTCAAGACCTGAGCTAGGCTGTTAACAATAGGACATTTTGGAAGTCATTAATTCATAGGGTCACCATAGGTCAGGAGTGACTCGATGGCACTTACACTCATAGGTGCAAAGTGATATAGGTGATGATGGGAAAACTGAAGAAAAGGTGGCTGTAATTTTTTCCCAGAAGAGCCTGCGTGAACTATTTCACAATATGGCAGAATGTCCACTGCTGTTTTTGCAACTGTATACATTAGTTAACTTTATCATACTTCTGAAATCAGTCTTTAAAGAGAGATTCATAGCACAATCCTAAAGCCTAAGTGCTTACACCAATGTATCTCTGAGTTATACTGGCATGTCAGGAGATATGGTGCCATGCAGCCGTGCTGGCTCCATGTGTAACTGTTATAGAAGCAAGATTCAAATCCAGCAGTACTTTAGAGGTCAACAAGATTTTTAGGATATGAGCTTTTGAGAGTCAAAGCTTCCTTCATCAGATAGAAATAGGAATGGAGATCCTCGAGTCCTTATATCACAGCCAGAAGGTGTGAGGTGGTTTGCAAAGAAAGGAGCCAGGATGCAAAGGCACTCCTGCTATAGAAGCAGGAGGCATCAGGAGCCTGCCATGGGCCAGCCAGACTTAGTTGGCTCCTTAAGCCTCTCCAGCCCTTGGTCCCATGGCTTACACACACATAGTTATGCAAAAATGCTGGCATAGCCCATAGTGCTCCACTCTGCTGAGTGCCAACATGGCAACTAAATATGCAACCAATCATATTGTCTCCCACAGCCCCCCGGCAGAACTTAAAACCCAGCTGGATCAAATGCTAGGGTGCATGGCACGTGCTGCTGCCTTGCACACTTAATAGCATGTAGCTTTGCACTTTGGTGGTGGTCAACAATGCATTTAGTACCATATAGAGGGGGCATGAATACCCAAGGAAAAGGGCAAATGGCATTGCATTATCCTAATATTTCTCTGCTCAGAACCTTTACAGGTACTCCATCTCTTGACCCAGAAATAAAAGGGCAAGACTTTGCACCCCCAATAGACAGGGTGCATGGATAATGCACCTGTGACAGAAAGGAAATGGTTAATGCTGTGACCTGGTCTGAGAACACTGAGTGACAGGGGATTGAAATGGAATTCTTCAGTGGAGAGTGTTGGTTAAAGAGTGACAGGAGTAGCAGTTGAGAGTTGACAGTTAAGAACTGACAGTTGACTGGGAAGGAAGGCTTGGAGACTGTGAGAGGCTCAAGAAGGATCCTGAGTTAAAGAAGTGGGAAGCTTAGCCCATCCCTAACAAGTCTGAGGGAAATAGTTCCTAAAAGATTGGGGGGGGGGTGATCCATAGCCTGTGGGACAAAGAAGCTTATGCTTGCGTACTTAAGCAGAGACTGCAAAGAAATCTCAAATTTGAAAGACCTGTCTGAATAACAGAAACAGTTACTTGTTTGTGACAAATTATCTGGCATTTATTTGTATACAAAGTTACCTCATTCCTGTTGCTTGTTCACCTCTTAAGTCCTACACCTGATTCCAACCTGACCATTTCTCCTCAAAGTTAAATAAAAGTTTATTTTTGAACTGCCACTAACCTCTCGTGTGCAATTTTCAAAACAGGACAGAAGGATTTTAGTCTCTCCTCCTCAGTTCCATTGGTGGAGCCAGCATATATCTAAATAAGTGGGTGGGGCAGCCAGAGAAAAACAAAGAAGAAAATCTAATGTCTCGATATGGTATCTCAGTCTTCCACACAGTTGACTGAGAGGTTAGGAAGCTAGTCCCAACCTTAGAAGGTATGGGTTCAAGCCTGATCTTTGCCTCATGTTTTGCTGCTACTCAGTCCACTTCTGAGAAAAAAGGAAGCTTTGCCTTTTGGCCAGCAGCCCCATTCCTGAGAATTAATCTTCCTCCCATTTGCTCCATGTGTGCCCTTTTCTGATGAACTATGGTGGGAAGGGATAGGATGGCCTTTGAGGGTGCTGTTATGTTCCCTTGTTGCTGCCCCTGGTGTCTGCATTCCCTTGCCTGGCAAAAAGAAACTTGGCTGCAGGCAAGAATCCAATCCTGCATCTGTGGATATATCCCCTCTGGAGCACCTGCTGCACATGCCACCAGCCTCCTTGGTAGGTGTGGGGTCAGCAGCTCTTTTCTGCCTGCATCTGATGCTCTGCCTTTGTTTGGAGTGACATCAGGAATCCCTGGCCTGACTGGTAGGTGGTGGATGGCTGTGCTCATATCTGCCACTCATGGGACAGCAGCAGTCCATTGCTGCTTTAATTGGTGAGTGTTGCTGGGGACTCTGGTGTGCTCAGCACAGTCTCTGGACATTGGGCAAGGGTTTTGCAAATTTCTTTCCCCTCTGCTGAATGATCATAGGATGCCAACCAGCAGTTCCTGTGCTGTGGTGGAATCCTGCTAGCATCAGAACACCATGGCCAATGGGTTCTTGTGATGGGACTGCTGTTCAGCACAGTTAAACGCTCATAATGAATTATAAAAATGCACATACATTAACCATTTTATTTTATTCAATTTTACTATGGTCTCCATTAATTAAACAAATGATTTCCAATTAAAAAACAACAACAACAACGCACCGTGACCACATAAGTCCTTTTCTTTTTATACAGTTATACAAATATTCTAAATACACATTTTGTCAAGATGATGGCAAATAAGATTTAACTGTACAGTACATAATGAAATATTAAGCATATTTAGAAGCAATAGAAATGTCTATACAAAAGCAAAAATGGAATAAATTTATTAAAGTATTGCAACAGTCCCACAGGTTTGTAACAAAAATGTCTTTGCACAGTTCCTCACAATGCCCAATTAACAGCTAAAGCAAGACAGTGATTTTTAGAAAGTATTTAAAAAATGCTACATGTACTACTGTTTGCACAGTCTGGTCAAAACAACAAATCTAACTTGGAATCAAGCAAAACTTAAGAGGAAATACCCCAACCAACTTTAAAATTGTCTGTATAAAATTCATTGCACATTATTTTACTCAGTTTGAAAAGTAAAAAAGTGTATTTACAAAATATTCTGCAGTCAAAATTATAAAGTGAATGAGATATCTATAAGTAACATGTCCCTATACTGACAGTCTGATAAAACACAATGGTATTTTCCTAAGAAGTGTTCAGAACTTCTTTCTCAGAAGCCCACAGGGAAGTAAACTTTTAGTTTGAAATGGATTTATAAGATGTTAACACAGCTATTTCAACATCGGCATTATAAAACAGTATGTTAAAAAGGCAGGAGAATGAAGAAAGTTGTACATCTTAAAAAGTGAGAATTCACAGATTAATAAATGTCTTTTAATTTACTTAGGACAAACATTCATTGTTCTTCAAAATAAACCATCAGTTAATGAAAATCCTGGACAAAATGAAATTGAAGGACCATGCAGGATAGTCAAGAGTGGTAAACATTGAAAAAATAGCACCAGGAATCCTGTGAAAAAGGTAATCTAAAACTGATCAAGTAGTTGGTGAAGATAGGGCGCCTTAGATAATTCTCTGTTCACTCTGGACACCTTGAAAAGTACTGGACAGTTCAGAGAAACACATGGTGTTTGTCGATCCAAGCAACCTGTACAGTTCTTGCATATCTAGGTGCATAAAACAGGAAAGTATAAAATACATGTAAGTGGTAAAATTATCAAGTATAAGACTACAGCTGCATACCAATTTCTAAATAAACAGAACATTCTAAAAATAATTATGTAAGCATAATTTCTAAAGTCTTGTGGCCTCCTTCCTTAGAGGTACACAGTTCCACATGTTAGATCCTTCTTGTACAATTCATTAAATATTTCATGTCTCCATAAAATGGCTGGCTAATTCATGTATCCATTACTTTGTTTACAGGTCAAATTCTACTGAAAACTACTGCTGTATTCCTCAAATCTCTACATAACGTAGCCTTATGACTATTTGGTGAAACCCAATCTCTGTGTTTATGATGCAAATCACAACAAAATGCCTCCTTAGGATAAGTAGTTGTATATAGGCATGGGCATGAACCTCATTATGAACCTAATTTCATAACAAACATAGCAGGTTTATGGTTCGCAAACCGAAGTTCATGTCCAGCCCTATCCATGACCCTCCCACAACTCTCCATGTGGTTTTTGGAGGTTTGTGGTGGGAAATGAGAGGGATCGCTGAAATGGCTTCCATCCATTTCAGCCTAACAGCGGGGCTGGTGCACCTATCAGCTGACAGGCTGAAACAGATGCAAGCCACGAGGCTCAAAGGGAAGAGCTGAGAATTCGATGAGAACATGATGAATACATCACGTTGGATATAATGGTGGGTGGATCTAAAAGGCCAGTCCCCCTCAAATGGTTTGTGTAGTGAGCAGCTTAATTTTCATGCCTACTACAGCTGCCACTTGTCTGTACAACATATTTGGTTGCAGATCCTGATTCAAGCATGACTGTAGAAATAGCAGCAGCTGTAACGGTTTTAAAATACTTCTGCTTATATCAGCCAATGAATGCCATCCACATTGTATTGTAGATGTTTTGCACACAATAAGCACAACTCCTAGATAGCCCCTCTTTTTAAAAGTTCTGCTTAATTTCCAGGTGGCCAGATGAAGTGTGCCCAGATTCAGGTGACAGGTGCCTGTGTCATCCTCCTCAGGAATCCTGCAAAAACAGTTAACTGACAGAACTATGAGGCTGGAAAACAATGACCTCCAGTTCCAGTAAGGGGTTGTGCACATAAGAATCGCCTGAGTATCGGCTTCTGGTGATGGTGACGCTCTAGAGCAGACTCACCTCCTGGACCTCCCGGGGGGTGAAGCTGCGCTCCAGCCGAAGGAGGGGGGTGCGCAGGTTTGTCACCCCCCCCCAGAGACCCGGTTGAAGGGACTCTGGCCATGGAGCTTCTGAGAGGTTGCCTCTTCAATGGCGGAATGCCGGAGAATTGAGGCGCCTCTCCGTTCTGACGGTTCTCCGTGCTGAGAGACCGAATGGACCTAAGCAACACTAACCGGGGCAAGCGCAGGAGACCGAGTGTTTAAAATCGAAACTAAACGAGGTCCGAGGACCACTTATGAACGTGAGTCGTTTAAGCGTTGATTAAAGAGAAAAGAAAGCTCCCCACCCTAATTACGCAATAGAGAATTAGGCAAGCGGGGGAGGAACGCCTCCCGAGCGCATGAACTTTAGAGCGAATGGGGGGGGGAGCGGAAGAACAAGTGGTTAAAACTGTTAAGAAGTACTTACCAAGGAGTGTTTGAGCGCTTAAGCGCATATTTAGAGACTTTCAAAAAATTTGCGAAAGTAAACAACCCAAAAAACATGGCGGGGAAGAGGGCGGAAAGGAGAAACTTTTGAAAGCTAAAGGAATTGAGAGCCCAAAACCAGAAGGAACCAACGAGCTGGCAAAGACTTTGGCAGAATCCATGCACCCCCTAATGGACCAGCTGAATAACTTCAAGGAACAGATGACCAAAGTGACTCAATGTATCACCTCTCAGCAAGACCAAATAAACAAGACTCTGAAAATGATTAATCAAACAGCTGAGAAGGTGAAATAAGTGGATGCCACTGCACAAAAGGTGAAGAAGAAAGCGAAACAACTGGAAAGGAAGCAAGTCTCCACAGAAGATCAACTGCTGCAATTACAAATGGAAAAGGCTAATATGATCCTTCGCTTCCAGGGAATGCCAGAGACTAAGGGTGAGAATCTAAAGGAAACTATGAGTGAAATACTGGCCCCAGTGACAGAGATGATGGCGGAACAGCTGATAAGCGATATGGATGTGGCCTACAGGTCATATTCAGGATATATAAAGAAAAATAATCTGGCTGGGGAAATTGTTGTAAGATTCTCGAAGAGGCATGTGAGGGATGCAATCCTGAAAGAAGTATCTGGAGTACCCCTGAAAGTGGGGGGAAATGTCATCAGAGTTCTCAGACATCCCATTTGAAATAAGGCAAAGGAGAAAGAAATACAAAGATCTTGTTCTCTTTCTTCAGACAAATTCAATTGGATACAGATGGCTAACTCCAGAAGGCGTCACCTTCAAAATCAAGGATAAAAAAGAAAAGATTGACTCTGTTCTGAAAGCTCAGGAATTTTTAAGAGTCCAGTTGGGAGGGCCAGAGGAGGAAGAAAAAGAAGGGAAGGACAGTAAGTCCAGTGGCGAGCTGGACTCGGATTCTTCTGGAAAGGACTTTTTCAGAGGAAGGGACAGCGGCTCCTAAAAAAGGAAAAGAATCGCCTATCCATAATGTAGAACCTCTCCATCTTTGGAATTCCAAATCTGCATTATCCGCTTAAACAGCACTTGTCTCCTCTTGATCAACTGGAGACACAGCTGGTCCACTTGAATGTTGTGTACTCTGCTGATGTGCTCTGGGATTGGAGTACAGATGTCACTCCACCCATTCTATCAATCTACCTGGTCAGCTCCTGTTACCAGAATCTCATTCCACTCCGTTAACTAACATAGGCCTTTACTGTGCTGTTGTCTGTTTTTATCAAGACTCGCAGATGTTAAATCCTAGAGAGGGAAGATGTGACTGCTAATCTGACTGATCTCAGCTCTAGCCAATATGCTATGTTCTCCCTCTCCTCTGCTAACCACTGTTCTTGACCGGAGAGCTCATGGCTAGGAATGACTTGGCCTGTAAGACTTGCCTCCATGGTCACCTGAACCTGAGACTCTATCAGGAAGTTCTTCCCATTGGACAAATTGCCTTCTTTGTCCACCACTACAAACTTTTCCATACCTGCCTGCCTAGGTTGTTGCGCATCATCCTCTTTATTTTAGAGTGCTAGAAAGACTTGCGTGGAACCTTGCCCAGACTCAAGATAAGAGATCATAGATCCTTGCAATCAGGCACATGAGACCCACTTGTTGGGATCCTGCAGCTTGTGCTCCCACCATCTTCAGTTTTTGCATCCTCTCTAGGGGCAAGACCACCTTTCCCAGGGATGTGTACATAATCACCTCTAGGGGAGCTCATGGCACTCTTTTATAAGCCAATAATGAAACTGTTTTCTGAAACAAGAAGCTTATCTTTGGACATCCCTCAAAGTGCTTCCCTCGTTGGCAAGCTGATCATGTAATCCAAATAAGGGTACATATGTATCCCTCAGTTCTGAGATATTCTACTAGTGCCACTGTTATTGATGAATAACCTTAGGTACAGATGCCAGACCAAACAGTTGGGACTTCTCCAGTTAGTGCTTATGCAAACTGGAGATACTTTCAGTGTTGACAGTTTATGGGGATATGCAAATAGGTTTCTGTAGAATCCAATATGTTAAGGAATTCATCCTTCTGTATCTATACCCCCCCCCCCAGTGCAACCTCCAGCGAACCCGCCACCTCCTGCGGGCCTGCCACCTGGACCTCTGGGAATGCTGGTTCCTGCATCTGGGCCAGTGGAGGCCCCTCCAAGGGAACACCAACCCAAGGAGCTGCTAGAAGCCACGTTTGATGGGGCTCTGGAAAAACTGGTCTTCTTCATGGTGCAGGTAGAAAAGTTCATACAGTACTGGGGCCACTTGTTCCCCTCCGATGAGCGAAGAGTGGCTTACATCACCTCCAAACTGAGAGATGGGGCGGCGGACTGGTATGTCAGCCTCCACAATGCCCAGGGGCCAGAGCAGCAAGAAGTGGATGCCTTCATGTAGGCCCTCTGGGCACAATACGAAGACCCGATGGAAGAACTAAAGGCGCGCAACCACCTGTGCACCCTGAAGCAAGGCCGGAAGACTGTACAAGAATACACTGAGGAATTCAAAAGGTACGTGGCTAAGATCCAGGGGTGGCCAGATGGGGTGTTGGCTGAACAATACCAGTTAGGGCTAAACTCCAAGCTTTGTGAGAACATCTTGCGCAGCGTACACCCAGTCTCCCTGAATGCTTGGATGAGGGAGGTGGCAGATACGGAGAATCGTCTACAAATGATCCGGATCGACAATGTGGCCGCTTACCTGAGGGCCATCGCCGCAGGGCTGAAACCCAAACTGCCCAAGGCCAAGGAGGGGGTGAGGGAGCAACGCATGAAGCAAGAGCTCTGTCTCAAATGCGGCGAGGGGGACCACTTCGCAGTTTCCTGCCAGGAGTTTGCGGGTCCTGCTCCAGGGGGAAAAGCCCTGGAGAAGAAATTGCAAGACACTCCTCTGCGGAAGAGCACTGCCAAGCCAAAGTTCCAACGCACTCTTCAAGTCAACATCGCAGAAGGGTACTCGGCGTCCAGCAGCGAAGACGAGGACCAGCCAGTGGGAAAAGTCCAGGACCTGCTGTAAGTGGTGCAGAGCAGCAGATCCCAACTCAAGCGGCATTGAAGACTGTGACTGTAATGAACCCAGAGTTGGGGACCCATGAGAGGGTGCAGGCGTTAATAGACTCAGGGTGTGCCCAGGATTTGATGAATCCCTCCCTGGTTACGGGCTTGAGGGCTCAAGTGTCAAACTCCCCGAGCCCATCATTTTCACCCAAATGGACGGTTCAGCCATGAAAGAGCCGTGTAAATTCAAAATGGTCCCTCTGCGAATGGGAGCGGGGGGTCATTGGGAGCATCGGCCCTTCGTCATCACCCCCGCCTCCTGATTCCCGGTGGTGCTAGGGAGCCCGTGGCTGCACAACCACAACCCGTACATTGTCTGGGATGAGGGGAGGTTCGGTTCATTGCTCCCCGATGCCAGACTCACTCCTGGGAGAATAACTGGGGTCAGGCCCCTCCGGAGGAAACTTTGCGAGCTTGCCTGGTGCAGGAGGAGCTCTCCGCCACCCCCCCTGAGTACAGAGACTTGGCTAAGGTCTTTGAAGAGGAGGAGACGGATAAGCTACCCCCCCCCAACAACTCTGACTATGCTATTGAGATACTTCCGGGCCGGAAATTACCCAAGGGCAAGCTGAATGCAATGAGTCCCAGGGAAAAGGAAGAGCTGCGGAAATTCATTGACAGAAACCTAGTTTTATCTGCCCAGCCTTCTCCCCATTTGCCACCCCGGTCCTCTTCCGGAAGAAGAAGGACGGGGGCCTCTGACTGTGTACTGACTATAGGGGTTTGAATGCTGTGTCGGCCACTAACGCTTACCCGTTGCCCCTGATTAAGGACCTGCTGGCGGCTGCTAAGGGGAAGGTTTTCACTAAATTAGACCTCAGGGATGCGTACTTCTGGGTACGGATTAAGGACGGTGATGAATACAAGACAGTGTTCAACACCTCGCTGGAGCAGTTTGAATACCGGGTGATGCCTTTTGGTCTCCAGGGGGCCCCTGGGGTTTTTATGAACTTGATTAATGAAGTGTTGCACAAAAACCTGTTTAGGGGGGCCTTGTTTACCTAGATGACACCTTATTATACTCCCCCGACAAACAGTCGTACGTGAAGTTGGTGTGGGAGGTGTTACAAACGCTCTATGACCATAAACTGTTTGCCAAGCTGTCCAAATGTGAATTTAATTGGCCCGAGAAGGACTTCCTAGGCTACCACATCTCGCCCTGGGGGTTAGAGATGGACCCCGCCAAGTTCCCAGATGTTCTGGGGTGGGAGGACCCTCGGACCTGACACCAGCTCCAATCCTTCCTAGGATTTGCAAACTTTTATTGAGCCTTCCTCTCTAACTTTGCCCAAGTCAGCTTGGCCCTCACAGACCTCCTTAAAACTAAGGGAAGGGGTCCAGAGAGCACCAAGCCTGGGGCACGGTTGCAGTGGACTTTGGAATGTCAAGAGGCTTTCGATCACCTCAAATCTCTGTTCACCTCCAAGTCTGTGCTGGCCCATCCGGATAAGAACAAAAAATTCATAGTGCAAGTCGACGCATCAGATGCAGCCATGGGAGGGGCTATTTTGCGGGGGGGGGGGATGGGAAACTGCACCCTCTTGGCTATGTGTCCCGCAAGTTTAATACCATGGAGTCTGTGTGGGATAAAGAGGTGGGGGCTATTAAGCTGGTGCTAACAACCTGGAGACATTGGCTGGAGGGCGCCAGGGTGCCTTTCAAGGTCTGAACCAATCATAAAAAACTGGAGGTACTACGCACTCCCCGTAACCTGAACGCCACAACTCCGGTGGGCTGACTTCTTTTCTAAGTTTTGGTTCACTCTGCACCATTTCCCAGGCAAATGAAACTCAGTAGCTGACGCCCTCTCACGCCTCCCCCAGCATAACAGCCAATGGGGGAACGTTATTGACTCTATGTTCACTCCCTCCTAGTTGGGTGGGGCAATCACCACATGCAGCCAGGCGTCGGCTCAGAAAGGAGAGGCTGCAGAACGCTGGGAACTGCAGTTCGCCTCGACTTTCTCCGAGCGCGACCGAGAGGAGGTAGACTCTGATGGGGTGTGTGTGGAACAGCGAGAAAATGGCTGCTGGTACAAGGGTCATAGACTATTTTTTTTCCTGCATCCCTCAGGGGGGAGGTAATGAAGGCAGTGCATGGGTCTAAACTGGCTGGACATCTGGGCTATTTAAATACTCTACACCTTTTACAATGCCAGTTTTGGTGGTCGAGCATGCGCAAAGACATCTCCTTGTTTGTTCAGTCATGTCAAACTTGCATAATGTGCAAACCTCAGCCAGGGAAGCCCCCCAGACTGTTACACCCACTACACCGTGGGAGGTGATCTCGATGGACTTCATCACTGACCTTCCCCCTAGTAAGGGTAAAACCGTCATATGGGTAGTGTTGGATCTGTTTTCTAAGCAAGCGCACTTAATCCCGTTTTGCAAGGTTCCCATGGCTCATTCACAATTCGTTGCTAAGTTCTGGGGGGAGCTGCTGAGGGTCCATCAGTGAGCCCTCAGCAGTGCTTACCACCCAGAAACAGATGGCCAAACCGAATGGGTGAATCAAACCCTGGAACAATTTCTGAGGTGTTTTACGAACTATCAACAGAATGATTGGGTGGATCTGTTACCATTCGCCAAATATTGTTACAATAACACCCTTCATTCCTCCACAGGGGTTTCACTGTTTAAAGCCATGTATGGGTACGACGGTGGCCCTCTGCCCTTCCTGAGTGAGGAGTGTGGCCTGGGTGGGGAGGTTGGGGACTGGTATGAGGGCATACGGAACGGCCAGCCCCTTGTTGGAAAGACTCTGGACAAAGCGAAAGCTGCCTATAAGGCACAAGCCAATAAGAAACGTGCTTGGGGTGGGAGCTACACCCAGGGGACTCTGTCTATGTTTCTACTAAGAACATTAAGGGCTTGCAACCCAGTCGTAAACTGGGTTGGACATATGTGGGGCCTTTTCCTGTGGTTCGGAAGATTAATGAAGTGACTGTTGAATTAGCTCTCCCCAAAAATCTAAAACATGTGTTTTTCATCACAGCTTGTTAAAAAAAGATTCGGGGCCCAATGTTTGGCGGCCGCAATGTCCCCGGCCGCCCCCCTTGATGGTGAGTGGAGAGCAACATTTTCAAGTCTCTCAATTCTTGGACTCGAAGAGGAAACGGGGTCGTCTGTATTATTGCATTGAATGGGTGGATTTTGGGCTGGAGCACTGGGAATGGGTGAATGATGCTTGTGCCCCACAACTCCTCCGTGAATTCCACTCACTGTTCCCAGGGTAACCTGGTGGCCCTTGGGGGACAGGATGTCAGCTAAGGCTGCCATGGTGTGGAATGTGTGGGTTTGCTCTCCCTCCTCCCATCCCCCATTCCTTTCACCTGTGCTCTATTATCTGTCTGGTGTCCTTGAAGGTTTTACTTGGCCAGCTCCTAGCTTCCCGCTGGGAATATAACCGTTGCTTTTTGCCTGCGTCTTCAGGTGTTTGCCTATTGGCTTTATTGCATCAGGGGGTCATGTATGAAGGGGGTATATCTATAGATTCAACTCTTTTGCCCACCATTCCTGACACAAGTGTTCATGGTGTCCTAAGTACTACTCCTCAATAAACTGAAACTTCTGAAGGAACGTTGTTGAGTGCCTTGATTGGGAAGCCTGACATTAGTAAACCGCCAATCTTATTGTTTAGTAAAAGTGCAAGAGACCATGACCCTACTGTTTTTCTTCATACCTTGGTCAGGTGTTCATGTTTATGCTCCAGCTCTCGGATTTCTTGATTAAGAATCACCACTACACGTTGTGGTTGACTCCTACATTTACTGCAGATCCCATGCTGAGTCAGTTCATCACATACTGGACAATGTAAAGTAGTGAAATACTGGGAAATTGTTCCTTTACGGCTTTCTTGCTCATTGTGGGAAGCAGTGGCAGTTTTCTGGATCTACAGGAAAAAATTATATGGTAGAATATAGCTTTGTCCCATGCTAAGGAAATTCTAACCAAGGTAGTTTATCAGATTTCACAATTCTCCAAATCACTATTTTCTGAGTCTTAGCAATGTATGTCATCAAGAAATACCACAAAAAATTCTTACCCTTGTCTCTTTTGAACATACTCTGTACATACCAAGAAGCCAGCTGGCACAAAAACTTCTACATATCAAGGAAGGGAGCAGAGGGTGCTTATAATGCTATTTGGGTCGCTCTCTTCAGCTTTAAAGAGTGAGGACCAGGACAGGCACCTGGGATAGAGGTACACTGGTGTACTGGGAGAGGGAGAAGACATGGGAAGCAGGCAAAATGGGTCAACACATTCTGCAGAAATCCTCATAGCAAAGAAGAAAGAGGCAGACCTCTGCTCCTCTAGATTCACATGTATGTGTATTATAACTATTTTACAAAAAGGTACCCATTTCAGTTCTATCATGGCATGTACTATCAGTCATGTATGATTCCGCTCCACAGATTATAATAAATTGTGCTAAGTTTCTAGCAATAGCCCAAAAAATACGGGCTGCACATATAATTTTAGAAAGAATCCAGAAGACTTAGGAGAGAGGGAGTGAATTTTATAACTTCTATAATATTTATTCAACAGTTGAATAACAGTTGATAGACTATTGTGGATATTTAGAGTTTTAGTAATTTTGTAATTAACATATGCAGATCAAATGCAGTTTTATATTTAAATATTATATATATATATTATTGGTACCCTTTTGTATTGTTTGTAATTGGGCTGGTGATATACCGAATAAACTGAAACTGACAGTCATGTACTGGATAACTGTTAGCTATACTTACCCTTGGTAATTCATGATACCAGCTAAAAACATCTATGCCAACAAGTGACAAGACTCTAGCCAATGGAGGAAGAATTTGCTTGGTGATGTAGTAAGTTGCATTGAGCCTTAGGTTAGAATCTTGCAGAACCTCAATGGGTCGCCTTACTAACTGTATGAGAGGTAATCCTGGAATGCCATACACAATGACATATGGCACTCTTTCACCGACTCGTGGCTCAGACCGCCGGTCATATGCAAGCATCCTCCTATTTAGAGAGGAAAAAAACTAATCTTAGAATCTATTTCTTACACATGAAAGAGATGAACTGCATTCAAAGTTGGCCACATCTAAACATATTTATTATATGAAACATTTTATTTCTTATGTCTCCCTGCAATCAATCATTCTTTTAAGCTGGACAAAGATGACATCACATTCTCTCTCTCACACACACATGCACACACACAAAAATATATATACGTAGGAGAAGACATCCTCTATATCCAGAAGAAGTTCACTATGTGCAGATACTGCATGTTGTCCAGTCTGAAGTATGTTGCTCTTCCTTATTAGTGTTAACATAATTGATTTATGCTTTGAATGACTTTAGGGGAAAAGGGCCATGGTTACATTTAGCATTACTCTTCAGGGCTGGTTCCCAGGAAACTTCTTGTTCTACATGTGAATATCCAAATACAAAACATGTAAGCAGTGAATGAAATATGAATTATCCCTGAATGTAATATACAGCCACAGAAGTGGCTGCATATTATGGCACATGGATTCTTCATAATCCTACCATAATGCCTTGAAAATTCAGTTAGTTATCAAATCAACAGAATTTCCTTATCATGCTGACATTTAGAAAGAAGAATCAAAGCCTATTTGCAAAAAAAAATCTCCGAGCAAGGAAAAGTGCAACTGCATTTAGCCTAAGTTTTAAGTGAATACACAGTGTCAAACTGTACATCTAGAATACTTGTGGCATGAAATTAAAGGAGCCATAACTTACAATATCCTTGTTCTCAGACCATGTGTGAAATTGTAAGCTACTGTCATAAATGGAAGCTTGATAAAAATAGAATTATATTTTAACACACATGTGCACAGTTTGCTTAGTGTACGATTTAAGGATGTGCAGATCACATTTCGTATGTTGTGTATTTTGTACTCAGATATCCAGACCTGAATATAAAATCTCTTAAGAGGGCCAAACTAGACATAATGCATATGTGTGTGAGAGAGAGAGCTATATATATTTATACACATGCTCATGATTTAAGTAGGGGATGGGAGGCCCATTTAACAAAAACAGTGGATGTGGGCAAGGGAGTTAAACATTGATCCCCTTCCCTTGCTACAGTCTGGTGCTTTCAGTAGTTTGCCTAGTCCAGCTCCTGAGCCAGGTCAGACAAATAAAATACTGAAGACATCAAATCACAGTGAAGTAAGGAAGGGGAGGGGGCAGCATTTACCTTCCTCCACCTATACCTCCATTTTGTTAAACAGGCTTTAGCTGTGAATGGGTGGACATATGTCTAAATACATATGGATTCCAACAGCATATCTCATTTGCCGTTTTGGAACTTGACACACAGTAAGTCTGAAATAGAATATACTGCAATCTACCTTGTGCTGCCAAACTGCAGTCCTATGATGACTGAGAAAGCTGCAAATGAAATAATCCCACCCATTAGGTAGACTGAAAAGGGTACAGGGGCCTTCCCAATGTTAAGACCTGGCTAGTCACTGAGTCCAGTCAGTAAGCCTTCAGATTTTGTTTTCCTATCTATTCCCTTGCTAACAATAACTTGCTTTTCGCTTATTGTAAATAAGAGCATTTGGCATCCTTAAATGGAAAAGTCCTGCTTTAAAACAGGCATTACACTCAATTTTGAATTTGCTATAAAGCTCACATTATGATAATCATTTAATAGCATTAAAATCTTTCAGTACTATTATGTGTCTTATTACCTTGTGATTTCCAGGGCTGGTACACAAGCTCCAGGTCTGTAAGCAGAACTTCCTCTGTACTCCTTTGCAAAGATGAAGTCTTGCATGCTGGCTTTTCCTTCTAATAACTTCATGCATTGATTTTGCACAAACTGCTTGATCTGACTTATATCTCGTGTTTCAAACAGCAGTTTGATAGAACGCTCAAGTATCTAAAAAACAAACATAAGTGTCTGACAATCCCTTTCAGTAAACAACTATTCAAAACGTAACTATTTAAGGGTAAAATCCCACAATGTGCATTTCTGCTCTTTGGAGTAGTCTTCCCATGTGTAGAGCTGCTACTACAATCAATCAAGAATGAATTTAAACAACAAAATGCCTGAATCCTTTTACCTTGGAAACAGCAGGGCAAGAATCTCTTCTGACAGTTTCTATGCCTTTGGCATCAAATACTGGGTCCTTCTGGTCCAGTGTTTCATACATATAACCAACATATCTCTTCTTGGTTTGTAGAATACATGGCAAATAAACCTGCAGGGTTATAACACACTTGGCTTAGGCTAGGTATGAAGACATGCAAGAAAACTACAGGATTGAATGTTCTTCTTGTCCTTACATTTCAGAGAAGACTTAAAAAATTTAAAATAAGATACACTTAAACAGTAGTTAGCTTTCAGCAACACTTTTGATTTAAAACATTTAGGCCTTAAGCCCAAAAAGCTAGGTGATAAGTTTCTGTATGCTCAGTTGGACATCTGACTTTCACATCTATGCTGCATATGCACATACATTTTCTTGAGTAGTGACATAATGCAGGAATGTCAAACATACGGCCTGCAGACTGGATGAGGTCCCTGCAGGGCTCCTATCTGGCCCACGAGCAACTGGCCCTGTGCTGCTTTCTGTTTCTTACATCACAGCTCCTTTGGCCAGTCTCTCCTATTTCCTGCTTCAGAGGAGAGAAAGAAAGCCATCCTTCAATTGGCTGAGGGCTCCTTCCCCCTCCTCCTCTAGGGAAGGGGGAGGGAAAGACCCAGAGAGGGGGGGAAATGGCATCTCATGGCACTTTTAAGAAGACCAGCAGAAATACCTGGGTATTCATTTACCATTGAAATTAACCGACCTTTATGATTCCAATTATACCCCACTGTTTCTGGAAGTTAAAAGCACAATTGAAAAATGGAACAAACAAAATGTTTCCCTTCTAGAAAAAATTGATCTTCTAAAATCTTTCATATTTCCGAAATTTCTCTTTTTGTTTCAGAATTTACCAATTAACATCCCCAGAGAGTCTTTTCTTCAGTGGCGCAGATGGTTTCTAAAATTCATCTGGACCAATAAAAAATCAAGAATTAGCTACAATACTTTGATCAAACCAAATACAAAAGGAGGCTTAGGACTTCCTGATTTAGAAAAGTATTACTTTGCAGCCCAGTTGAAAGCAATAGCCTTGTATGCTCAACCATCCACAAATAAATCCTGGGTTACCATTGAACAAACCAATTTATTCTCAGGACACCTCTTTGAGATGATTTGGGCATTCCCTACTTACAGAAAATTTATAGAACCCTAGAATCCACTTTTGAAACTATCTTTAAATATCTGGGATACATTTTGCAAACAATTAGCCCCACCAACTTCCCCTTTAACTGTATTTTTAAATCAGAAATGGTTTATCCCAGGACTAGAACCTTCTTTTTTTAACACATGGAAAGAAAACGGAATTATTAGGCTAGGTGATTTATTTCACAATAATCAACTTCTCACTAAACCGCAATTCGAAACTAAATTTAAATTTTCGATTCCCTGGATTCAATATAATCAAATTAGACATTTTATTGCTAACCCAGACATCACACACTTGCTGACATGCCCGTTTAACCAATTTGAATCTTTTATTTATAAAAACAAGCAATCAACAAGAGGATTAATTTCAATGATTTATCAAATTTTGAACGCACAAACCTGGGCACAACAAACTACAGTACAAAACGCTTGGAATAAAGACTGTGGAGTAACATTGGATAAAGACAACTGGCAATCCATCTGGTTCAATAATTATTTACAACATCTGCACTCAACATTAGACTACAGAAAAACAGGTAGCTTACCTGTAACTGATGATCTTCGAGTGGTCATCTGTGCATTCACACCTATGGGATACAGTACGCATGCGTTGGATCGATTGGCATTGTAGCAAGCTCTTAACGGATTTTTGCGCCCAAACCTTGGGCATGTGGTGGTGGGGTGGGCGCGGACATCCCGCCAGTTCCTTTGAACTGCCACAAATCAACCCTTGTGGAAAATGTAGAAGCTGACAGCAGCAGGGAAGGAGGGCGGGTGGTGTGAATGCACAGATGACCACTCGAAGTTCACTGTTTATCTTTGACGTGGTCTCTGTGCTTCACACGCATGGGAGATTAGTGAGCAGTGGCCTACCTGGAGGAGGGTGCTGGCAGGTCCTTACTGCGAAGCCGAGGATAAGATGTGACGTCCCATGTTGGTACGAGAGTTCTTACGGACATCTAGGGCGTAGTGCCTTATGAACATGTTAGGCGTAGCCCAGGTAGCAGCTCTGCAAATGTCCATTAGGGGAATTCCCTGGAGGAAGGCAGTTGAGGCTGCAACAGCTCTGGTTGAATGAGCCCTGATAGGGCCAGGCAATGGCTGCTTAGCGATAAGGTAGCAGAGGCGGATGAGACCTACAATCCACCTTGACAAACACTGAGCCGTAATGTGAGTCCCTAGCCTTGCTGGCGCATAGGAGATGAACAGCTGACAGTCTCGTTGGACGGGTTCTGTCTAAGTAGGACAGAAGCGCACGCTTCATATCCAACATGTGTAACATCCTCACCTCTGGGGATGTCGGAGCCGGGAAGAAATCCGGGAGGAAGACCTCTGCCTGTAGGTGAAATTCTGACACTACCTTTGGCAGGAACGAGATGTAAGGGACGAGGTGGACGCCGTCTGGCAAAAAAGACAAGTAAGGCGTGTCATGTCTGAAAGCCAGTATTTCTCCAACTCGCCTTGCTGAAGTGACAGCAACCAGGACAGGAATTTTATGTCGCAAGTTGCAAGCGGCTCAAAAGGTTTCCTGGTGAGTTGGCGAAGGACCAGGGAAAGGTCCCAGGGGACGACAGGAGTTTTGATGGGAGGGTAAAGGTGCAACAGTCCCTTCAAAAAACGTTTAGAACATGGATGCGAGAACAGTGTGCATCCCTCAATTTGAACATGGTAGGTCGAAAGTGCGGCCAAATAAACCCTTAATGAGGAATGTGAAAGTCTCGAGTCAGCGAGAGACAGGAGGAATTCGAAAACTTTCTCGAGACCTGCGGAGGTGGCTCGAGGGGCATCGTCACCCAAGGAGGAACAGAATTTTTGCCACTTGTAATGATACGACTTTCGCGTAGTGGACTTTCTGGAGTTTAGCAAGACGTATGCTATGCGGGCGGAAATGCTGTTGACGCTACTCTCCAGGCTGTCAACTTTATTCGTGGCACGTCATGGTATAGGAGAGGGGACTCGGTTAGGAACAGGAGGTCTTGTGCCGGAGGAAACTGGTGGTAGACCCCCGCTGACAGATTGAGGATGGTTGAGAACCATGGTTGCCTCGGCCACCACAGGGTTATGAGGACACAGTCCGCTCTGTCGCTGATGATTTTGTGGCCCACTCTCAGAGGCAGTGGAGGGAAGAGGTAGAGAAATCCTCTGGACCACGAATAGAGGAGACCGTCCCCTAGAGACTGTGGGTCCCTGCCCCCTCGGGTGCAGAACAGAGGGCACGTTTTGTTCACCCTGGTGGCAAAAACATTTATCTGGGGGAACCCCCACCTGCGGAAGAGTGGAAGAAGGTTCTTTGGATTCATTTCCCACTCATGGAGACTGAGTCCTGCCCGACTTAGGTGGTCTGCCTGCACATTCATGTGCCCCGAGATGTGCGTGGCGACTAGGAAGACGTTGTGGGTGATGCAGAAGTCCCATAACCGGAGGGCGAGGTCGCAGAGGTGTTGGAAGACGGTGCCCCCTTGCTTGTTCACATAACTGAGGGCAGTAGTATTGTCTGTGAGGACCATGACACATTTCCCCCTTGATCAGGGGCAGGAAACTGGTGACAGCGAACTGTATCGCAAGCAGTTCCAGGAAATTTATGTGCCGATTTCGTTTCTGAGTGTCCCATCTGCCTCCGACACAAAGTCCCATCATGTGGGCGCCCCAGCCCGAGAGGGAGGCGTCTGTTGTTAGGGTAATTTGGGGTGATGGAGGATGGAAGGGTGCTCCCTGGAACAGATTGGAAGGGACAGTCCACCAAAGTAAAGAGTCCTGTACTTTGACAAGTGGGAATAGGAGGGTGGTGTGTGTCTCTTTCTCTGGATTGAAATTGCGGATAAACCATAGTTGCAGGTGACGTATTCTTAATTTGGCAAAAACCAGGACTAAAGTAGTAGCGGCCATGAGGCCGTGTAGCTTTTGTATTTGAAAGGCTGTCACTGAGGGCCGGGTACGGATGGCAGTGGCTAGGTTGATGATGTTGGCCGCTCTGTTTTGTGGCAGGTAAGCTGTGCAATTTGTGGAGTCCAGTAGCGCACTGATGTAGTGTATTTTCTGGACCGGTTGAAGTTGAAACCTTTCCAGATTTACTTGTAGACCTAGGTTTTCCAGGAGGACCTGCGTCTCGTTGATGTTTGAGACTAGGGCGTCCTTGGAGGTCGCTACCAAGAGCCAATCGTCGATGTACGGGTAGATGGAGATACCCTTGAGATGGAGGAAGGCCGCAACAACTACCGTCGTCTTTGTGAAGACTCTTGGTGCACTTGAATGGCAGGGTAATAATGTTGACCAACCGCGAAGCGTAGGTATTGGCGGTGGGACAGGTGGATGGTGAGGTGGAAGTACGCGTCTTGGAGGTCGAGGGTGGCTATCCAGACGTTCTTCTAGAGAAGTGGCAGAATCTGCTGCAAGGACACCATGCAGAAACGGTGGTAATTCACAAAGCGATTTAGAGCCCGTAGATCTAAGATTGGTTGAACGCCTCCATCCCGCTTCGGAACAGTGAAATAGTGGGAATAGAACCCCTTGCCCAGTAGATGCAGTGGCACCGGCTTGATGGCTGCCTTCTGCAGAAGGACGGACACTTCTTCCAGGAGGGCTGGAGAAGGGGGTGTGGGGACGAAGACAGGAGTAATGGGGTTCTGAATGAATTCTATGCGGTAACCCTGGGTCAAGATGGACAGCAACCATTCGTCTGTGGTGATGAGGTGCCAGGTTTGGAGGAAAGGGGTTAGACGGGTTGGATGTGACTGGGAGATATGGAAGTCAAAAACCCTGCTTGGCGGACTTCGCCTGCTTACTGCGGGAAGACTGTTGTCCTGATCCAAATCTAGGTTTCTGAGATGTGGGCTTATGGCCTCCAGAGGATGTACGTGGCCTCCATTGCCGGTCAGTAGATTGATGGTTTGGGGTGTGTTTTTGCCAGGGTCTG